CCTACAAAGAACTAGCACCGCATGGTTTCGATCCATGGACCTGGGGGTTATGAGCCCCCCACTCTCCCACTGAGCTACGGTGCTGTGGAAACGCCGATCCTACGCTCTTCTGTCTCTTTGGTGTCCAAATAACAGCTAAATATAATTAAGACACTTAATACCTTCTCAAACAATCTTCATATCCTCCTAGCCACTGTGGGATCCTTGCAAATGCTGTCCAGAATCCGCCCAACTTCTCCACAAACAAGCCTTCTAAAGTGCGTTTGCTTCAGCAGCATATGCACTCACAGACCTCATACGCCTTAGACTTAATCCCTACGGCAAGTTCGTTTGAAGCTGTATTATCTGGCATGGGCGCAGACTGTACTTCATGAGGATCTCCACACTTTCCACTGACTTCACTGTTCTGCCTCCTCTGTGTGGTCTCGGCATGGCACGAACACATATAGAGAATGTACTTTCTCCAGTTGCGAGTGTGCTAGGCTAGCCATCTTGAATTCTTGTTGTTTGCCCTGTTTCAGATTGTCCAAATGTAGCTCCCCATAACTGTGTGCTGTTGAATTTCAGGTTCCCTTCAAACAACATCTACACTGGAGCGGATGGAACGTTTGGACTTTGATCTCCCGCTGAACTCTGAACATTATAAAGAACTACTCCAAATACTGTTCTCCTTCGCTGGCTACACCTGAGGGCGGATTAATCTGTGGAATTGGAAATTCGTGTCCGTAGCATGTCTCGTGTTCCGTGTGTACATGTGTTTCCAATTGTATGCAGATTGGCCACTGACAGCCAATCAAGTGTTCAGCACAGCACTGGTCTATAGTCTTTGTGTATCCATCAGAAGCAAGCTTGGGCATTGTTTCTCGTTGGATTGTCTTGCATACATGGGTTGTTAGGCGAGGAATATTGCAACTCGCGACATCTCGTGCAAAAGTATCCCGCTCTCAGTAGGGAGATCGTCGCGAGCTGTATTGAATGATTAATACAACACAAATATATCCTGATTTTATTCAAAAGATATCTCTTCTACTATACTTTGGTTTTTTCGCTCAGTAACTGAATGGCTTGCCTGCCCCGTGGGTCTTAGTTGAGTGTAGCACTGCCCGCTGCAAATCTTGCTTTTGGGGTAACTTCGATGCATTCAAGAACGGAAATGCCACAACGTGGATTATGAGTGTAGGTAATTTACAAAGACCTACGTGGCCTTCAGTAGTCAGCCACCTGCACGGGTGGTGCAGTGCAGTTGCCAGCCTTGCAGAGAAAGCTGACAAGCATGCTACTCCAACGGGCTCCCCTTTTAAGAGGGACCAAAGCAGAAATACCGAGCCCAGGCATATATCTGCAATGCGTTTTAACAGGAAATAGGAAAGTTGAAGTTTATTAAAGTGAGGACATCCTACTTAGGGTAGGATCCAGCGTCTCCACGAGACCTCGTTGTGCATCGGGGACTCGACACGGAGAAAGTTGATTCATCTCCTCGAGAAAACTGAAACAGTGTCCGAGAGATATGTTACCTGGCTTTGGCTGTAGTATCAAACATTAGTTTTGGTGATTTGTTTGCAATTTTCTCCAAAGTACCCACACCGGTGCCAGAAAAATTGCGAGCAGGGCTACGCCTGTGTGTTCGGACGCCACTAGTGGAGGCCACATACTCTGCGCGGTTTCATGGCAAAAGCTAAAACATGTCTCCCCGTGAACTTGTGTTTGCCGACAAATGGATCTGTATATCTCTTAATAGCACTCATTTTCAAATGCAATTCAGTTCCAGACGGCTGACTGTGTCAGGAATTTCAGTGGGGGTTGACTTGCGTTGAAGCGTAGTATACCTGTCTCATGAGTCAGCGTGATACACGCTCCCTTTTCGTGTTCTTCTGTTTTGCAGTCACTGCCGTCGTGTACCAACTGAGGGAATGTCTCGCTGCGCAGCGGTTATGCGCGGGCATACCGAGGCATCTTCGAGTGTTTGGGGAAGTGCACAGCTGGGTAGCATGGGCACAGGTCCTCTGGTAGGGGCTAGTGTCGCTGGCGCCCGAGAAGAATGGGTTGCACAGGCAAGTGCGTCTGCAATTCATGCAACCACAAAACGACAACCGTGGCGTGTCGAGTGGAATTTACAACTGACGACTCTGCTCCTCGTGGCAGCCCTTCCAGCGGCATTTTTGCTCATCCGTTGTCACATGCAGCTCGCCGTCTCGAACAGACCTATAAACGGAGGTCTAAGGTTGCTGGCTGAAGGGGAAAGGGAAGGGAAAGGGCGAACAACGCCTTGCCGGGGAGACGGCTTGGAAAATAAAGTGACACCTGAAGGTGCCGGCGAGAGCATTGAACATAAGATGAAACGCCGGGCTGAAAATGTGGCAAAAAAATTAATACAAGTGACGAAAGACTGCTCGTCTGTTGCTCCTTTGCTTCCGACGCAATTTCCCATAAGAGTAGTCGATCTGTTCTTGGGATTTTGCATTCAGGAAGTCGCCGCTCTGTCGGCATTGCTGGCAGGGCAATTCGAGGAGCAAAAGGTGGAAGTCCTACAGACAGCCGAATCAGCAGCTTTGGAAGTGATGGAGATTTGTTGGCAAAACACGACAACAGGCAAGCGGAACCATGCATGCCGCCTCGTGGAATATGTTAACGACCTACGGGATGCTGGCCCAGAAAATCCTCCGCTCCCAAATGAAGAGCGTTTAACGATGCTGGAAGAGCTTCTAGAGCTTCAAGAAACGGCTATTGGAATGATTGAGGGTGCCATTTCGTCAGCGTTGATGTCCCGGGACTCCTCAAGACATCTTACCCCCGAAGCCGCACACGAATTTGCAGAGGAGTTGAAGCGCGTCGTCTACACTCGGCGTTCTCAGGTGTTCAGAAGCAAGCATCTCAGTCATCAACTGAGAACCCTAGAGGCAGAACGCTCCAGAGGAAAGCTAGTGCCACTGTTGAACCTTAATAAGGTAGACAGGAAACCAAAGCAGCCCCTCGAGACGCAGCTCGCCGATCTCGTTCACGGTTCATATTGGGTTAAAATTCCTCAGAACAAGACTGACAAGACTTTGCAAGAGACTCCTCCTCGAGACGAAGGATCCCCAGTAAGGCGCCAGGAACTCCATTCCATGAGGATTAGTGCTAACACAGGAGTGCGAGCTCCCAAAACAAGCTTTGGCGGCAGCCGGCAGATGTACGAAGTACCTCCCCGGTTTCAAGTCAGGATGGAGCGGGCACAAGTAAGTCTTCCAAAAGCGCTCACCACATATCCTGAGCAGACCCAGCAGACACCAGGCGGCATCAGTCCTCCATCTGAAGCTCAAAGTTTGGGAGCAGCCCAGGCCCTGCCGCACCAAGCTCCGGCAACCCTGGCACCAGCTGGTCAGCTCCCGCCCGAACTGGATACACCCTTTTCACAACTTTCAGTAGTCTCCAAGCTAGGCAGGAGTGATAATCCCCCCTCTGACCCTGCAGCCTCTTCTCTGGCCGCGAGGTCACAGCCAACTGTTCCAATAACCAAAGAAACTTTGCAGGCAACGTCACATATGAGGGAGGCATCCTGGCGTTTCGGGGTGTCGACAGAAACGACAGGGCCTCCATGGTCTACACCGCAGCCGCAACGCGCTTCCCATTTGCCTCAGGTTTCGAATCCTTACTTAACTTTCGCAACAGCACCATACACGGCTGCGCCCCTAC